GGTGCAGATCACTACCAATACAATATTTTCAATCCCCTAAAGTCATACTCGTGCACCATCTGCATCATGCCTTCCCTTGTAGACCGACAGGTTGTTCCTCTGAAACCTCCCCCATGCATGAGCTTCATCATTATTCCCACCAGTGTTAGGTGGATTTCTACACAGCCTGGGCAATAGCCTACAAAGCAACATCAATGCAACATTGTTCCTTCGAGTCATTCTTCTCGTTCACATAACAAAAGAAACAATGGTTAGAAACTATCTCGACAATATTCAACTATCACACACTATAAACTCAACAACCTGGCCGGACAGACTGACATGCTCTGATACCACTAATGGTAACACCCTTCTAAAACCCCATGAATATTATAGTTAAATAATCAGAGTATTGCACCAAAAGGTCGTCACATGCTTCATAAAACATCATACATGCATATCTTTCTCCGTAACTCGGGCTTTTTCAATATTTATATGACAAATACCTCATTAATAACAAACATAACACTTCAACTACTCACAACGAAATTCATAATTCAAAACGTCTTTACTAAATACATGATAGAAACTTCTTTGTTCATGATTCATAATTCAAAACAACTTAAATGCCATGAAAGGTAGTTCAGAATCTCAAAATAAACAAAAGAACATAAAGTTCAGATCAAATGTTCCTGACCCCGATGTTACATATCAGAGCAATATCTTCTAAAATCAATGGAAAGAAACAACACACTCTGAAGCTATCTTCTAAGATTCTATAAACTACTCCTAATCACCTGCGTGTTATCCACATGGAAGAAACATTCAAAAATAAAGGGTGAGTAATCACATTCATTATAAAAGATATACGGGATAGACATAGTAGTTCAAACAGCAACATCGTGGCATCAATATCAACAACATTGTCAACACTTCGTCAATTAGCACAACAAAATATACAACATCATCTGGTCAACATTTATGTAATGCCAGATAAGATGTAGTGTAATAACATATACTCATACATGTGTACTAATTCGTTATGAGTACTTGACTCATCAACCTCCAAAGATCCCTATCATAGGATCGATTCCCTCTTTGAAACAGAGCACAACATCAAACGCACTCAATCCACACAATAGGATTAAGGCCAACACTGGACTAATATCCTTAACAACATTGGACTTACGTCCTAAATCAACATTGGACTTTCATCCTAATAATTCTATGAATGCATGATGCATAATAAACATAATATTCGCGACCACAACTAGTCAAGTGCATGAACATTCACCGAGTCATAAACAATATTCACATGGTGTGCATATACAACAAACATGATAACATCAACCTCATTCAACAATACATAGTCACATAATATTACCATCATAGTATTTACCATTCATCATAGCAACCAACACATTATAGTATCAACAATTCATTATAGCAACATGCATCATTATAACCTATCTCTTAAGAATCTAAGTCTATCTTAGTGTAGGTACTGTAAATATACATATTGTACTTATTTTACTCTACCTACATGTAGTTCATCATGTTAGATATCCAACACTTCAAACGGCACATCCAACAAAGTTCTAAAACTCAAGTTATGGCATTTACAAATATCCACAAGCATACATGCTCGCTACTACTTCGTTCGACGAGTGGGTCCTTTCGCCTTATGCTTACCCAGCGACACAGAGGCGACGTGCTCTCGCCTCTTACTCGCCCAACGAGGCTGGAGTGAAGCTCCTCTTCCCATACATTTTTTCAGGAGGGCCACTTTTCCACCCATTCCTTTGCCCCATGTCTCGCCCGACGAAGACTAAGCGATGTTGCCTCACCTGGCAACGCTTCCCTTTTCCTGATGACGCATAGTTGACAATGAATCCCTGTTGCGATTCTTCACCTGTTCAACCCCAATTCCTCTCGCGGTTTCATACCCATGACAGTCCAGAATCATCATAAATCAACATGTTTTCATTATGCAACAACAACACAACATTATAGTCATCTTATGTATCAAATCATGACAAATAAACATGGTGTTTTCATTAATTTCAACATAAATTCATCAGAATGCAACATACCATCAAAATCATCATAAACCCCAACAATACATCCTGGAGAATGAACTTTTCCAAGTGCTCGACAGAAATGGTCTTGTAGCTTCCGAGGAGGGTTTCAAGAATGCAGTGGCTCAAATTTGTCTATGAACCCGGGAATTGACTTTGATTTGACGGGGACCTGCTTCCTCCACCACGTGTTGGATGGCCGAATGGTTGTCCCCGACTTCCTAGAGGCCGCCGAAGGACAAACGACTAATTCACCAGGGGTACTCGTGCAGCCATATACTGAAGTGACCCCTCATCCCGAAGAGTAGACTCAGGCCGCTAGCTAATTTTGGAGCATGTTATCTCTTTGTTTTATTCGACTTGCACGCCATTTCTGTTGTAATTTATTTTGGGGGAATTTGCCCGTTGTTATGTAATTCCCAAACAATTGTGGTCCTCGTGGCCACATGCTCATTTCTTTGGATGGGGGCCTTAATCCTCCCTTATGTAATATTGTTAACAATGACGGCCTTCATGGTCGCCTTTCAAATCTTCTAACCGCGATGGTCGTTTATTCTAATTTGCATCATTTAAGTGTTTTTAACTTTTTTTTTCGTGCATGATTTATTGATTATTATTGTGGAGTGCTTTCATGTCTTGTATGCTCGTATGCTCGAGACGTTTTATTTTGATTAAGAGTATTTATGATTTCTGAACTCCCCAGGACATCCAGAGACCATGCTCACTCCCTCCTCATACTCTGTCCTAGGCCTGATTATGTGGATGAGGCCCTCATCCATCATTTCCTACAAACCAACCTTTATCTTATTGTAACCTTGTATATTAGTACTACAGATATCACAACCAACGTAGTCATGAGTATAGTAACTAAACTCGCAAAGGTCTACGTGCATCTTTACCAGGTCTCCTCTAATCAAGTTAATATCATAGATATGGAAGTCCCCTAGACAACTAGCAACCATGTTAACAACATTCGCTCCTCCATATTTTGGGAGAGGGTTATCTTTTACACCAGGGATAATATATTTGAAAGACAAAAGGCCAGATCTAACCATTTTCTGTACTTCAGACTTTAGAGGATAACAATTCTCCACATTACGCCCTGGTGCACCCTGATGGAAAGTGCACGTCTGATCTGCCTTGTAGTACCAAGGTAAAGGGGATGGTACAACAGGGGGTGGCCTAGTATGGATCAATTTTTTCTGGATCAATGCTGGGAGTAGCTCTGCATAACTAATAGGGATGAAGTCAAAAGGTTTTATTTAGAATACCAGGAATCCAGCGTTGCAGGAGTCTCAATTCCAATTTCCTTGGCAAAGTCGCTGTGAGGGCGCAAGCCTCGCTCAATGAGGTACTTCTTCATCCCGTCGATCGTGGTGACCTGGAAAACTTCCTGGTTTAACCTTTTTATGTATGCTGGAAGGGATTCATCCTTCCCCTAGATGATGGCCTCGAGCGCAGCTTCTGACTTGAGATAGCGGTGAAATACCGTGAAATTCCTAGAGAATTGTCTCCCCAAGCCCTTCCAAGAAGTGACAGACTCATCAGGGAGGCTCTTATACCAAGCCATGACTCCCTTTCTGAGCTCCATTAGGAACATTCGACATTTGATTACTCCCTAGAAACCCTTGTAGTCGAGCAGCGCATCATTTTTTTCGATGTGCTCGTCCGAGTCTGTTGTGCCATCGTATGTCCCCAAGTGTGGGGGTTTCTCGAGATTGATATAAAGTTGGGTCTCCATGATCTCCCTGGATAATGGGCCGTGGGGCTCGTCGTCATCACTATTATCAGGAGAAGTTGACGGGGAGTAGTTGTTTCTTCCTCGTCGGGGGATGCCGTCCCGTCGGGGTGAGATGCTTCTTGGATGTTGCCTCAACTTGGGCGGCAGAGAGCCGTCACGATCAAGTCTCTGGTCATTCTTCATATTCTTGGACATCGGGGACCTTCGATCTCTCTGGGGAGGTGTGCGACTTTGTTTCTTGAAGAAAGAAACCTCTTGCCTCTCTCGTACGGGAAGACGGTCACGCCTAGGTGGTGATGGACTGCAGGAGTCGTAACGCTAATGTCTCAGAGGAGGAGACTTTGCGTGCTTCTTCTCCCAGGCCCCAATCCTCTTGCTCTGCTATAGGATTAGCGTGTTGGTTTGATTGACGGCAGCGAGAAACGCTGCCATGGCCGAATCGGTATTTTGTGGAATAGGAATTGGCTGTAGGATTTCTGGAAACTCTTCGGTGGGGTTCTTATACCTCTGATCAACCAAGAACTGGAGATTGTCGCGTTCAATATTGACTAAATCTAGGGACGTTATTTGCCTGTCTCTAACATCGAGGGCATCCTCGAGATGATGATGCTTTTGGCTTTTATCTGTCTTATGGACGGGAGAGAGTAGTCTTTCCAGAAAGGTGGTGGTCGTCATGGTCGGCTATGATTGAAGTTGTGAAGGTATCTTTGGTCTTCGATTTTAAGGAAAAGGAAGACAGGGAAGATAGTTTCCTACAAATAGAACCACTGATCTTACCGGTTGATCAGAATCTGAAAGTGGACCGAAGGATGACGTTTTCTTACCTGGAAAGTTGAGGAGGGAATGGGGTGTATCTGCAAGACACTCTGACGATCAAGTAAGAATGAGTAAAAAGAGATACAAGAAAGATATTAGGGTTTTTAGTGTGAATATTGGATATCTGGCTCTCACAAATGTGAGGGTTTATATAATGCCTCCGACACTTGGCCATTGGTTCCTATTTTTGGGGCTATGTATTAGGTTCCTAAAAAATAGGTAACTACCAGGACTAGGTCAAAACGGGCAGTCATACTCGTAACTAGTCGTTTCCCCGAGCACAGAAAGGATTACAAGCAGAAGCATTTATGAGTGTTTCCTGGGTGTCTACTCTACATGTGTCGAGTAAACTGGGAGGTAATTGCCTGCGTGGGTAGGAGTGTGTTTCAGAAACTGTTGGTCTTGCCACTCAAGCAACGTGGTCGACCAGGGATGCCCGGCATGAGGTCCTGAGCTACTGGGCCAATATTGTTGGACCATGCAAAAGTTAGAAGCAGATTGGATCAATTCTAGTCATTGGACAGTCCAGAACAGTATGTTACTTGTAATTTAGAACGATGTTAAAATATAGTTCGTGTTTTAAAATATAGTTCAAATGTGTTACCTCACGCATATTGAATAAGAAAAGAAGAATTTTTTAGAGGGTTTAAGAAAATGTTATAAGATCTTCAGTGAGAGAGATACTTTCATACCACTGCTTTTTAGAGAGAGATGTTTTCCCTTCTCTCTAGAAAATTTTCCCACGACCCTTTAGGATTTGGTGGCTATTCTCCACCTTCATGGTGGTTTTCATCTTTCACCTTCATGGTTGTCATCCCCTCCTCTATAAAGAGCTTTACCCCCTCCACTCAACTACACTTTCATGCTCTAAATGAAACTAACTCACTCATCGGTTACCCTCTCTCACTACCACGAACCACCGCTAAACCCCTCCTTCTGCTGAAACGGACGCCACCAGAGCCACCACCATCGACTGTTTTCACACCTTCAAAGTTGTCAATCATCCTCCTATCTCCAAAGCTCCTTCTGTTGACGCGACCGCGACTGGAGCCACCACCAACTGCTCCCACACCTTCAAAGTTGTTAACCATTCGCCCATCTCCAAAGCTGCCATGGTTTATCTACAATTTTCGATTACTTCCTCTTTTCCATTTATCTAATTTTAGTTTTGTATTTTCTGTCATGTGTTATTTTCTTTTGGGATCTAAATCTGCAGTTTTGGTGTTTGACAATATGTCTCAAAAGTGTTTTTCTTTTTGGAGTATCTTATTGTGTGTCTATTGGCATCTCACTGTTAGTGGTTTGCTTCAGTTTTGCTTTTGTTTAACCCATTTAAAATGTGTCTTTAAGGTGTTTGATGAAATTCTCCATAGAAGTTTGGATGAATAAATGGGTTTTGGAGTAAAAATCTAAATGTGGTATCTTATCAGACTCTCTCTTCCTTTCAACAAAGGTTTCTTTAAGAGATTGTGAGTTTATTCAATCTAGAGAACATGTATAATCAAGACTCTCTCTTCCTTTCAACAAAGGTTTCTTTAAGAGATTGTGAGTTTATTCAATCTAGAGAACATGTATAATCAAATTGTGTATGATAAAGCCAAAGAAATAATGTGTAACTGAATAGACTTTAAGATTGTGGTTCCCAAACTCTTTTATCTTTTGTGGAAGAATGTTGCTTGATTGCTTGAATTAAAGAATTGGATTAATAATACTCCATTGAATTCTAATTTCTCAAAGTTTATTGTTCTTCAATTTTTGATAGACTTAATTATTAGTGTTGAATTTAGTTTGAGGATGGGAAATGTCCTTACTCATTGTTTGTCAAATTCCTTATACTCCTTTTGTTTCATCTATTAAATGAGAATGTTTACGATCCAAAAAAAATTCATACCACCACAATATTTTTTTTTTTATAAAAACCTTAATATATTGTTTTTTTTTCTTTTATTAAACTATCATCAACCTCAAATAGACAAAAGGGACTGTTTTGCAATTGAATCAGAACTAATCGGCTTCAACAAGCATTGTCAAGTGATTTAAAAATGGCATACAACAACGTACAAGAGTGTTTTCGAAAATATATTTTTAGAATTTAAAAATGTATCTTTAAACTAAATTTTAATAGGATGAATCTCACTTAAAACTTATTTTAGTATGAAAATAGTGCCTCCGAAATATATTTATGAAATATAAGAGATATTTTCGTATTTTTATAGGATATGCTAAGAAATCCAAAAAAAAAAAACAATGTACAAAATTTCTCTTGTTTTTCCCCTTAAGATTGCTTGCTTGCAGGTTTTGAAAAGCGATAAGGATTTTGAAAAGAGGAGAATAGAAAGAAAATAATAATGAATTTCCAATTTTTTGAAAGTATATTTTAAAGAAAATAATAAATGAAATTTTTTCATTACTATATTTTTAATCTTGAAAATACCATAACAGTTTAGATAGAATTTTCATTATTTGTTATTATGAAAAAAAAATCCCTCTATCTATCCTTTCTTTCATTTCTCTTCCTTTTTTTTACCCAAAGAGTCTCAAAGTTCATTTCAAACCTACACTAAAGCCTTCGTAATACTAAAATCACATTTTTAAGGCTGTCACAACAAAAACAGAGAAATGTGAAATGCATCCTTCACATAAGACACTTGCCGTAAAATAGTAAATACAAGTATCATTAGTTTGCTCCATGTCTAGAGAAGTAGAGCCAAAAATATAAAGTAAGCTGCAACTAGAAGTATTATTTCCTATTGATGAAAGAGACGCAGATGTAAAAGCAAAACTGCCATAGAAGTTCAAAGCCAAGGAAACCACTCACACAACTTGATAGTTTTCTGTTATCAACTGTGTTCTCTGCGCGTATTTGGGAGGATTACCACCCTTAACCGGTATGATAGTCGTAACCTGCAAAGAGAAGCAAGAAAAAATTAACCAAACCATTTTGACACATTGTTCCAAATTACTGTTACATCCATTGCCTCTGATAAAATTGAATACCAAATATAAACATACGAACCTTCAGGTCACTAAATGTATCAGTTGCCATAAAACGAACTGAAATGGGAAAGAATGCTGATGAATCGGCATGTGGAACAACAAACTCCATTGACCCACTGCCAATTATATTAAGTTCAGACAAAAGAAATCAGAAAAAATTTATAGATATTAATATAGCACAAGTTATATCTTAAAAATCATTCCTAATTTAGCATACCTGCGATTTGAATTATCAATCAGAAGAACAGACCACTCCAAAATGGAATTCCTTGAGTCATACCTACAAAGCCGATTATATTAGGGAATCATAGAGTGCACAAGAATGTAAAGTGAGAAATAAAATGATTTAGTAGGATGAATATAAGTAAAAATGACATCAATTGATGATTTTGGGAAGGGAGGAGAGGAGTGATGTAGGAAGGCAAAATTGGTTCCATCAAGTAATCTGATTAGTGGTTCAATGCTCCCAAACATGTACCATGTGTAACAGATTCTACTAATCACCAGCTCATTTACAACAGACCTCAACTAAAAAATCATGGTTGTCTCTAACATTTGAAATACAACAAATTACACACCTCCATTCTCCATCAATCTGACTAACAGATGGTGCTTCTCGAAGAGGTGGAAGCGGTACAGAAACCACAACATTCCGTAGATCAAACATTGATGAAGCCTCATATTCAATGCTGACGTAAGTTTCATTTCCAGAAGAAGAGGGCCAACAGTTGACTGCATTAGAAACATATAGAACACTGTCAATTTTTATTGCTTGAAAATAAAGGAGTTGACCACATCAATGATATATATTAACTCACTTGTCAGTGGCACCATTGACTCATCGGTGCTTTGCATTCTCCACTTTAAAAGCCCAACACCTGCAGCATCACTGGCTTGTCCAGTGGGGAAAGGCCTGTTGGGATCCTTTGGACCTAAAATATGTTCATTGGCAAATAGCTCTTTATTCATATTAGGGTGTGTCTTGAAAGAGATGGCTTGATTATCACCAGTTTGGACCTGCCAAAACAAGCCACAATATGAAAGCAACAATACTTCAGTTGTCTTCCAAAGTGATATATGCATTAAAAAAGGGTATTGAGGAGAAGGGGGAACAGGAGCATTTTAGAATGAAAGATGAAAGGAGCAAACATCTATAAAACAAATTTAAGTAATGTACAAAACAGCTTAGAAATGCAGAGAGAACAAATAAAATAGATAGAAAAGAAGACAAAAATCATTTTGCATATTGAAAATTGTATTTCGTTGTACATACATACAACTCTTCATCTTTTCTTCATGGGCAAGAACTAATACTACCTCCGTCCCTGCTTATAAGACCCTTTTGAGGTTTTTTCTTGTCCATTTTTATAAGACTCTCTTCAATTTTTAAAGTGCATTAATTATTTTTTTCCGAACATACCCCTAATTATATTACATATTTTTCTGCAATATGTAATAAATACAGTTACATACACATTAACTATTTCTCTCTCCTAAGGATAACCTTGTAAAATTATACAAAATAGTCAATAAATTTATTACTCTAACAAACTTTCTTAATTCCCGCAATTTACTCACCAGAGTCTTATATTTAGGGACGGAGATAGTACCAAATTGAGAACGAAATGATTGTTTCAGAAAAACCATAAAATACATCACATATCAAAAGCACCTGAATGCTTTGTGATTGACAAAAGAACTATCACTGTAATCACCTTACAGTTATTTCACATCTCATTATCTTCCTCTTCAATTTCTTTTTTTAGGTCTAATTAAGCAACCACAACCATATTCGCTTTTTTCCTTTACTTCATTCAGGACCCTCACCTAGTCCTGGCAGAATAAAGCTTGTGTTAAAAGTTCCACATCAGACGATATATGGCCTATGTAAGAATTATGTATTTCTTATTGAGTGTTTACAAAATATACTAGAATATAAATAGCCTAGGGAGTACAAGTAACTGAAGAGACTAATTAAATCCTAATTAACTCAAATTAATTTTTATTTACAAGAAAGGAAATATTCTATATGGCTGTGTAAATAAGAATAAATGTACAGCTATAGAATCTGCATTGCTGTCCCTTATTAAAGGCTGCACAGTTGTTCCTTAGTGGCTGCAGATCAGCAACCAACACTCCCCCTCAAGTTCCCCCCTCAAGTTGGGTCATAGATGTCTATCATGCCCAACTCGAATCTTAAATTTTCATAGTTGTTTCTAGGAAGTGCCTTGGTCAAGATATCATCCGTTTGATGACTTGAGGGTGTGTGCTGAAGAGAAATTAATCCATTGTCAATCTTCTCCTTAATGAAATGTCTATCAATTTCTACATGTTTTGTCCTGTCATGCTGGACAGGATTTTTAGCAATACTTATGGCAGCTTTGTTGTCACACAATAGACTTACTTCATGGTAAGTATGAACTTGTAGTTCCGCAAGCATCCTTTGGAGCCACATCCCTTCGCAAACCCCATGAGCCATTGACCTAAATTCTGCTTCAGCACTGCTTCTTGCAACCACGGATTGTTTCTTGCTTCTCCATGTCACTAAGTTGCCCCAAAATGAGCAATACCCACTAGTTGATCTACTATCAGTTACTGAGCCTGTCCAATCTGCATCCGTAAATATTTCTATTTTCCTGCTTGTGTCCTTTTTGAAATGCAACCCCTTCCCTGGTGCCTTTTTTAGATACTGCAAAATACGATTAACTGCTTTCATGTGAGCCTCTTTGGGGTCGTTCATATAGCGGCTAACCATGCTAAGAGAAAAACCAATATCTGGCCGTGTATGAGTTAGGTAGATAAGTCTCCCAACCAGCCTTTGATACATCTCTTTATCAGTAGGTGGACTCTCTTTTTCTTCTCCTATTTTCACATTAGATTCCATAGGAGTGTCTGCTGGTCGGCATCCTAACATCCCCGTTTCTTGAAGTAAGTCAAGAGTATACTTCCTTTGAGACAAATAAATTCCTAATTTTGATCGTGCCACTTCCATTCCTAGAAAATACCGTAACTGACCAAGGTCTTTGACTTCAAATTCCTTAGCTAGTAACTATTTTAGCCCTTCAATTCCTGTATAGTCATCACCCGTAATAATAATATCATCTTCGTCTGAGTGCTTTAAGAACACTGTGTGATCTGTTTGGCACCGAGAGAAACCATGCATCCTAACCACTTGTGTAAGTCTATCAAACCAAGCCCGTGGGGATCGCTTAAGTCCGTAGAGTGATCTTTTGAGCTTACATACCTTGCCTGAGTTTTCTGATGTCTCAAGTCCAGGTGGTATTCTCGTGTAAATATCTTCTTCAAGTTCACCATTTAGGAAAGCATTTTTTATATCTAGTTGGTGAAGTAACCAATCCAAATTTACTGCCAATGAAAGGAGAACACGGACTGAGTTTAATTTCGCTACAGGTGCAAAGGTCTCTTCATAATCCACCCCATAGGACTGAGTGAATCCCTTTGCCACCAAGCGAGCTTTATACCTGTTCACACTCCCGTCCACATTATATTTCACTGAGAATATCCATTTGCTTCCAACTGGCTTCTTTCCCTTTGGTAGGTGACATAGCTGCCATGTACCATTCTTTTCTAGTGCCTTGCTTTCTTCCATAACCGCACCCTTCCACTCTGGAATTAGGATAGCATCATGGAAGTTGTGAGGAATGTGGGTGTTATCCACTGAGTTGATGAAATTCTTATACTCCTGCGACAATTTTTCACTAGAAACATGGTTCCCAATTGAGTGTTTGGTACAAGACCTCACTCCCTTTCTTATGGAAATAGGTAAGTTTAAGCTCTGGTCATAAGTGTTATTATCCAATAAATTAGAAGATGAGTCAATGCATGGTAATTTACCTTCGTGAGCAGGTTCAGAATCTGAATTCCGGGTAGAGTATTGGTTCTGCTTCGGAAGAGTGCATGTTTCTACTTCCTTAAGAGTTTGATGCTTGTTTTTCTTCCTTGTGTATACATGTATCTCTTTTCTTCTATTTGTTGGCTTGTTAACCTCAAGAGTGGTTGTTTGCTGGCCCAATTCAGATTCAAGTAATATCTGGGTAGATTCTGAATTTTTAGTGGTTGAGCTAGGTTCCGGTGGGACAGATTTTTGCGGGACAGATTCTGGTACAGTTTCTGGAGCAGATTCTGGTATAGTTTCTGGAGCACTTTCTGTAACAGATTTTGGTATAGTAATTTCCCAAGGTTGCGTTCATCAATTGTCACTTTCTCCCCCTGAATGGCAATCTTGGAGTAAAAGGCATTGCCTTCATAAAACGTGACATCTATAGTGTGATAGGTTCGCCTTTTCTGAGGACAGTAACATTTATATCCTTTCTTGGAGGGAGAGTATCCTAAGAAAATACATTTGATGGATTTTGGGTCTAGCTTGTTGGGATTTGGCTTTTGATTATGTACAAATGCAGTACACCCAAAAATCTTTGGTGGGAGATTTGTGAGAAGTTTGATCGAAGGATAAAAGGACACGAGGGTTTGGTGAGGTGTGTTTAGGTTGAGTGTTTTGGAGAGCATTCTATTTATTAGGTATGATGAAGAAAGAACCGCTTCCCCCCAAAAATGGCTAGGTACATTCATGGACAACATGAGGGCTCGGGTGACTTCCAATAGATGTCTATTTTTCCTCTGTGTTGTTCCATTTTGTTGCGGAGAATATGGGCATGAAATTTGGTGTGCGATGCCATTTTTGGCAAGGTATGTACCAAGGGTGTGGTGGAAGTACTCCCCCCATTATATGGAAGTTCTCAAATATACTCCCTGCCTCTGACTTTTCTTTCATGAGAAACACCCAAGTGACTCTTGTATGGTCATCAATAAAGGTGACACACCACCTTGAGCCGGTAATATTGTTCACTCGTGAAGGTCCCCACACATCACTATGAATAAGGGTGAAAGGTTTAGATGACTTATAAGGTTGTATGGAATAATGAGACTTGGTATGTTTGGAAACATCTTTTTCAAATATATAAAATTTGGGTGTCCTAGGCGATAATGCCATAACATTACATCATTCTCATTCTTTGATGAACATGTAAGGGCAGAATTGTAGGATCTTTTATTTTGTTCTTCAACTTAGATAGTAAAAGCCTGCACTCTCCTCAGCATTGCCAATCATCTTCCCCGAATTCATATTCTGAGATTCACACAAATGTGGTAAAAACTTAGCAATACATCCCAAATGTTTGGTTAATTTATAGATAGACAACAAGCTGCAATTTAATTTTGGGACATGTAAAACCGAATCAAGAGTAATAACTTTGGAGATAATCACTGAACCTTTGCCGGCCACTTTGGAGGTAGTACCATCTGCTATTCGGACAAAAGATCCATCCTGACAGGGAGTGTATTTGGTAAATACATTGATGTCCCATGTGATCCGATGCCCCAGAATCAACAATCCAATAGTTTGTTTTCTGGTGATTAACACGAAGGGCAGCAAAAATATTACCTTTTTGGGCAAGAGTAGCAGAGGAAGAAGAAGTACTAGTGTTTTGCATTGCTTGTTGCATCAATTTCTGCAGCATCTCTATTTGCTCTTTGTTGAAAGGGCTTGTCTCTGCAGGGCTTTTGGATTTGCTCTCATCAACAGTAGCAGCAGCATATGCGCGTGTATCATTGAACCGTGGTTTCAAATCCGTGGGTTTCCCATGAAGCACCCAACATGTTTCCTTTGTATGTGATTACACCATCCTCTACCTTTCTTTGGTAGGCCTCTTGCTACAAGGGCAGAACCTTCGATGTTTGCACTTTGACTTCCTAACATAACTTTCCTTCTACTTTCTTCCCTTCTTCCTTCTGCAAATGCTTCATGAATGCTGGGGAGAGGTTTAGTTCAAAGAATCCTTCCCCTTACTTCATCCAAATTTTTATTCAGTCCCAATAAAAACTGATAGATTATGTCTTTCTCGTTAATTTTTTGTAAATTTTTCCATCCTCTAGGCACTTCCACTCCGTGTCGACATAGATGTCGAGTTGCTGACAGTACTTCGTGAGAGTGTGATAGTACTCCGTGACTAGAGAATCTCCTTGCTGAAGGTTATGCAAGAGAATTTTGATCTCAAATATGGCTGAAGTGTTATCCACACTTGAGTAGGTCTCCTTGACTGCATTCCAGATTTCTGCAGCAGTGTCATAATACATGAAATTTTCACCACACTCATTTGTCATAGAGTTGAGTAACCATGACATCACAAGACTGTTTTCAAGTTTCCACTTTGCATGGTTTGAATCAGTCTTTGTTGGCTGCTTAGCGTCGCCAGTGATGTAGTCTTCCTTTCCCTTTCCTTGGAGGAAGAGTCGGACAGATCTGGACCAATGTGTATAGTTCTGTCCATTAAGTTTGTAACAAGTAATGAGAATTGTCTCATTATGACCGATGGTATTTCCAGTCGCTGCCTTTGGATCAGCATCAGATGCTTGAGTTGTTTTGTTTTTCCTCCATGGGAAAACCCTAATTTTTTTAAATCCTTTCTTTCGGATCAGAACGGTAGCTCTGATGCCATGTAAGAATTATGTATTTCTTATTGAGTGTTTACAAAATATACTAGGATATAAATAGCCTAGGGAGTACAAGTAACTGAAGAGACTAATTAAATCTTAATTAACTCAAATTAATTTCTATTTACAAGAAAGGAAATATTCTATATAGCTGTGTAAATAAGAATAAATGACCAGCTATAGAATCTGTATTGCTGTCCCTTATTAAAGGCTGCATAGCTGTTCCTTAGTGGCTGCAGATCAGCAACCAACAGCCTGAATATGTGCTTATGTGCTTATAAGTGGGGCAATCCTCATCCTACAAGCTGGTTTTGCAGGGTTGAGTTAGGCTCAATCACATTTCTTAACAGCTTGATTGTTGTAGTTGTTTTCTCTTCCAGGCCTATTCTTTTTCAGTCCAAGATGTAAGAGAATAGTCAACTACATGACCTAATGGTTGTGCTCATTGTTGTTGGGATCTCGCTCTAACTCCCAAAATCTTACGCTCCGGCAACCAGCCACCAATTTAAGTGGCACAAAGATCTTGGATTTGGCTGGAGCGTTGAACTCCCAGAGAAAGATCTTGGATTTGTCTGGAGCGTTGAACTCCCAGAAAAAGATCTTTAAATCGTGGGATCTTGAGATCCCAACGATCCATTTTTTGTTTTTACCCGCTTTAGACCCGTTTCGATCTCGTCATTAAACAATTGGATTCGCCCATAAACTGACCCATAACTACCCCTGACTGTTGGGCACACATATTTTAGGGGTTTTGGGACTTGCATTGTTTTGAATGAGCAGCTTTTGAGAATTGTAAAATAAGGATTGTCAACAAACAGAAGGCACCGGAGCTCTGAGAATTTTGTATCAATTAATCATACAATGAATGGATTTCTTTCCTCCATCTATCTTTTCTATAAATTCAAATCAAATCCTTCTATTATGTTTTTTTTGGATACAATATTTTCTATTGATGATTAAATTAATATGAATTTTATGTTAAAAGTAATTTTTCCTAGTTATTTTTGTAATTTTGTCTATTTGTTGGGACGTGTTACGATCCAACGATTTACGCTTTTTCTATACCCTAACGATCTTTATCAAGATCCCGATTTTGACAACCATGGTTGTGCTACAATACCACCTATTAAATGGGTGTACAGTAGGAGAAGTAACAAGGATTGTAGGGAACCACTTTCAGTTACTAACTGAACTAATGATAGCTTTAACTGAATACAGTTATTAACTGGCCTCTTGAATTGCCAAGGAGGAAAGTATGTACCAGTCCCATCATGTGAGTGAGAAGATTGATTCAAGGGCTAAACCACAAAAAAAACAGCTCATCTTGAGCATAACATTGATACCTAAAAAATTCTAGCTAAAACTTTATAATTGACTTATTTGAACCTAGCAACTTGCACACAGACTGAATTTTAAACATTATCAACAAGAAAATAGATTAGTTATCAAAATAAAATAAAAAAATAAGAAAATAGATAATTATTTATCCAACGTACCAGTGCAAACTAAACCTCACGTTAAGTATGGGAAGAGTGTGTATATAAGCAGGGAGATTGATCGAGTGGCTAAAGCACACAAAAAACAGCTCATCTTGAGCATAACATTGATACTTAAATTCTTGCTAAAATTTTATAATTGACTTATTTGAACCTAGCAACTTGCAAACAGACTGATTTTTAAACATTACCAATAAGAAAAATAGATAACTGCTTATCCAACATATCAGTGCAAACTAAATCTCGCGTAAAGCATGAGAAGAGTGTGTATACTCTATAGATAACACCTAAACTGGGAAACGAATCTGTTTCACATGAACTTTTTTAATAAATGATGAGGCAATTAAATGAATTAAAACTTTTGCATGCCGGTAACTAATTTACGATTAAAAAAAAATCATCTGTTTATGCAAACCAGCAGCCACAAGACACAAAGCTTAAGAGGTAGTGAGTATTTCATACCTGAACTTGAATATATCCATCATCTTGGTTAAGAATTTGGAGAGACAATGTGCCTTGAACATCAAAATTACTAACTCCGCCATCTCGTTTCAGTGTGACATTTAGTTTCTCCTCAACAGTTAAAGTGACAGGATCAGTAAGCGGTGGGGCAGCTGTCCGAGACTGGCTAATTCTTGGCTGAACATCTTCAACAATGACCTCACCTTCTGCTTTCAGTGATTCCAAAAACTGATTTGTCTTTTGAGATTTACCGAGCTTCATACCAAGACCCTTTGGCGGAGCAGTGGCAGATGCAGTTGGACGGCCTAAAGGAGCAAATAGGAGAGTACAAAAATGAAAAGCTTACTCTCTACTCAGATTTCAGATACATGTTAATTTGGATATAAAATAAAGCACAACCTGGATACTGTAGGTTTCAATGCCATTCTAAATCGTTACATTTAAAAGCATTCTAGAATAATTTGGGAGAATCTATGAAAACCAACCTTTAGGCTTGGTAGAAAAGGAATCAACATCAGTAGTCAATCCAAAACCAGTACCGCTTCCAAAGCCAGATCCAGTGCTAGATATGCTCATATCATTGAAGCTATTTTCAACTCTTCCAGATCCCATTGAGGTTAACGGACCAAAGCCTCCTTTATCACTTCTATTCTTTTCAATCTGAACAATAATATATTATGTTCAATAAAATCATGAGCAATCCCAGTTTTGAAAGTTAAAACATAAGAAATTACTCTCTCCGTCCTAAAATAACCGACTCAATTGAATATAGTGAATTGAGAGTGATGCATTGCAAAGTAGCATAAATTAGAGAGTAAAACTGGAAGAAAAAAAAAATTAATGTTTTATTAAAAACCGACAGGGGTGATTCATTTTGGGACAAATTTGTTTTACAAATAGATTTGGGGAGGAGGGAGTAATAAATAGTAGTCCCTGCAATCATACCTTGCTCTTATCAATCTCACTTGCTTTTCGCTTCATTACATCCTTAGTTTCATTGATCTTGCTCTGCATAACCAGCTTGTGCAGCTTCTCTTCCTGACTTTCCATCTCACAGTATTGTTTAACTTGTGCAACAGTCACATTCTCCTTGTGCCCAAGAGAGATGACTTCATCAAATGCAAAAATCAGCTCAAAGGCATGTTTGCAGATACCCTCTTCGTCGAGGGAATAAGAATATTCAGGGACCTATCAATATTAAGTAATGAATCTAAGAATTTTTTTTGATCCAAGGGCTTTACAACTGATTCAAAAAGGTGATACACATACACCTACCTCAAAAAATCCATTTCATCAATCCTAGACCTTCCTATAACATTCAATGTACTAAACGCCATGTTTAAATGAAAAAGTGGAACTTATGCATCTCATAACCATACCATCAAAAAACCCAATGAAAACACCAATATGACAGAAAATGGAGAAGACAAGGCACAAAATTTATAGATTTAGGCCATCAAATCATACCAAGTTAATGACAAAAATAATAATGCTCCTAACAAGATAAAAAGACCAATCAATTGAAAATAAATGTGGATTAGAGAAAAAGTACAAGTTTGGAGAGAAGTCTCAGAGTATCCAAATCTTCCAGTATGTTGCTCTGTTTGTTTGTTACAAGAAGCAGGTATAGAGCTTCTATTGGCTGATAAACATAGCGCACGTTCTCGGTCTCAAAATATGTGTGTTGTTTCCCGGTGCCTATTAACTTGGGAAATGCTGCTAGAAGTCCCTCAATTCTTATACGAGACATATCCACAAACTGTCTAGAAACTAGCACTGTAAACAAAAAGCAAAAGGTTTATTTGCATGTGGGTATGGGTGTTGAATCCATAATTAATAAGGCACCAATAAAACATCATTTCAGGACTAAGCTTTTGTTTATAAACAAAAAAAGTTATTCTGAATGCCAAAGGATAAATTCAGGACTACAACTGAAAGTTACATCTTGAGAGCTACATATTTAATATGCTACTCTTCCCTTTAGTGAGATTGCAGTTTACTGAAGTACATTACAACAACTAAAAAGAAAAAGTGAGCTAGACATAAACTATCATTGTTAATTGTTCTAGAATTAAGAATAAAAACCACGAGTGAGAAATGGGCTGCAAGGAGCTCACCTTTACCAGATTTACCGACAATAGATGCAGCAAGAACGACCTGTAAAACAAAAAACAATTGAAGAAAAAAACAACTAAAGGTGGTACAAAGAGAAAATCGGGAACATATATGAAATTTCTATTTTTCCTAATCCAAAGATGCTTGTTTTTCTAGTGTACTAAACAACCCGAGCTTATGGCCCTTGTACAAACCCTGCCCCACCCTCACCAAACTGACAAACAGTGTATTCAAGATGAAATCAAACATTAAAAATTACACAGTGTAGTCGGTGGCAGATGACGGTTCATGGCAGAGAGCCAAAATCCCACCATTACAACCACTCTGTGGCACCATTATAGCAGATTACAGTGGAAAAACCAATATCGTCCTATATTTACCATTTCGATGAGCCCAAAAACCACCATGTATATCCGCTATAGTGCCACCATGGCAGATATTTGATAACACTGAAATTACACAACTAAATTCTAGATAAAAGAAAATCAAACATTAACAGCATAAGTTTGCACCTGAAGATCCAAAATTATCAGTAATCTTGAAGAAAAATCAATCTAGAACCTTATGAAGATAAATTTTATCTAACACAAAATTTTAATTTTAAATCAGGGCAGCATATACATTAGGAAATTCCCACCAGATCATGAATTATAACTCTACATACATATAACACACACCAACTGACACGTAGACACTCGTAATAATTTAAAAAAATAAATAACTCATACTTAATCACAAATGTTAGTGAGACACAATTTCAGAGGTGTCAGTGCTACATAGATATAACAAAATTGGAATAGGTACAGACTACAGAGTATCAAAATGATTACATAAACATGAATACAATACATGAATAAACAATAAATACTGAAATCAAGAGGGGGAAAAATGAAAAATGAATGTGAAATGGTTTCCTAAGCAATGCAAAACACGAGCAAGTACTCAAATAACAAATCTACGGTGAGTTACCATTTTGTTGGATTAATAATTGAAATGAGGAAAATTATTGTTCTAGTGATGAATTGAATCTGCGAAAAATCAATTGCGATGTTAGTTAGGAGATCGCAAAAACAAGTATGCCACGAAGTGAATGATTGCATTGCAAGAATCAGAGAAAGAGAGAGCTTACCAATGCAGGATCTGAGACTTGGTAGTGTGGATCTGATCTGAATCGCAGAGAGAGAGAGAGATGAGTTAGCGTCAGTGAGAAGAAAAGAGAAGGAGGATATGGAAATTCAATGTTTTTCCAATTTTCTTTTTATATAATTATTTTAAAAATGACACTATGACTTAGTAAAAACTTAAATATAGAAAATTATTTTTCCATGACATAGTAAGTTCACTATTGTTTGATTTAAATAATAAATAATTAGCAAAAAATTGAAAATATGATAATCTTTGAGAATAAATTGGATATCCTATGTATGTAACTGCATAGACTAATCTCTCGAGTTTTATATGATCATATAAATGGTTCAGTTCTCTTTCAAGAAATTTAACACTATTACATGTTCAAGATTAAGGTCAAATTCAAGAGAGAAGAGACTCATTTTATCTCATCCCGCTTAACCCGATATTAATCCTCAAAAATAAAAATAATTTATTTGTCTCTAAACAATTGTATAGAGAGAGGAAATTACCTTTTTTTATTATGAATTCTTAAATTACACTTAAAAAAATGTTAACTAGAATGTGTGGGATATTGTACGTTATTCTAATAAATGCATAAACAATAAAATAAAATAAATAAGATAGAAACGTGAAAAATAACAATTGATAGATTTGATGTATGAAAGAAATTACAAGTATTGATATTTGCAAATGAAAGTACAGATTCTAAACAAATCATAATTATCTTGTAACTTTCTTATGTCTTACTTTTAAGTTAGATTGAGTGAACTGTTTACTTGTAAATCTATTAAGACTAATAGAATATAGGTTGTATATTAGTGTTGCACTTGAGCATGTTTAACCTCAAACATCATAGTAAAATCTTCCAAAATGTGAAGACTGGACTAGTCCATTTAAGATGAATCAAGAAGATACAAAATTAATCACTATTTTTGTTCAAAAAATTAATCTTTAGAAATTCTTTTATTAAAACAGATCAATTTTAAAAGGTAATTCAAATTATTTTTTGTGACTATCACTCCATTTCATGTGCCTCAAGTTTTGTTTAATACTTTGATATTGGGAGAGAGCTATCAACATTCTACTAATCAAATAACTAGCCATAAGAACTTCTCTGTCTCAAAATTTTAAAGATGCATTGACATGAATTAACATAGACCGTGCAATTTCAATAATATAAAAGATATTTTCTTTCTGCAATTCCATTTTTTAAAAGTGTTTGAAGACATGGTGATTGAGAAACCATAACAAATTGTTGAAAGAAGGAAAAAAAAAAACTCTTGCATCCTCATGTCATTGCGCAAGATGCAAATAAAATGACCAAATTGAGATCAAAATAAAATTAAAAACAAAACTTTATACATCTTAAAAAATCATCAACAAAAGTAACAGCACCTATACCTTAAAATAGAATTAACACGACTTAGATCCCACACACAGGAATGAACAAGATCAAAGGAAGAGTTTCCCTGACAAAAAAACTTGACTTGGCAAGATAGAACAAACATGTTTGTTTAACTGACAAAACACAAGAGAAACCGAGAAGTTTGTCCAGTACTCTGATCCAGAATACAAAAAGAATTGACACTGAAGATTACAGAGCAGTCAAAGTTGCGCGTGAATTGACTAACCAGATTTAAATTAAAAGGAGAACCAGAAATAAAAAAGAATAGAGGTCAATGGTAAACAAGCTTAATTACAGTCAATAAGAGTAACCATAAATTCCATGCATCAAATTCAATGTACAAGTAGAAATATATCACTCTCTACATCCCTTATGTGCCCAAATACAGAACTCAATTCTTGGAACCCAATCAACATTTGAAACCCCCACAGGCAATAACCCATAATATTATAACTAAGATAAGGATTCCTCCTCCCACCATCAGCTTCATTTGGAGATTCTGCAGCCACATCTTCCTTCTCAACTGCCTTCCCTGCCTCTGGAAGCTGTCAGCCTAAATTTTAATGCCAAATAAATGAAATTACATCAGTAGATTGCTTCAGAGTTCAGACATGTTTGGATTTGGATGATAATTAATACCTGAAACTGCAAGTTTTCAGTTTTATCCACCAGAAGTTCAATCTTCTCTCCACGATCCAAAACCTTCAAAACAGTGAGTGCAAATGATGTTTAAAAGTGCAAGTATACAGAAATATAGAGTTTATATAAATCATATATACATTTGATTTTATTCATTACAGGGAAGCAAACATTGCCTTGATAACCCATCCAGCATAAAAATAAAGTATATCCCAATTTAAGTATCCAACTGGACTCAGACCCTCTTCTGTGTCCCAATTTAACCAACCAAGCCTTCTTACTAAGGGAGTAAGCATCCTATCTGTTGGTGTAATTGTCACAATTGCGAAACTTATTCTTATATGCTGTTATATTTCATGAGTAATCATCAAAAGAAAAATTATTGAATAACAACATTTGAAATACAAGCTACGAAATCAAATCATCAAACCATAGCAAACCTTACAAGAAATTTTTTCATGTACACCATCAGTGTAAAAGTTTTTTTTACACAATCAATCTTAATCGTCTACCATTAAAAACATTATCATAACTATATTTAACGTCATATATACCGGTGATTGTGATTTATTGACAATGTAAAACTATTTACACTAAGAGTAGTATACAAATTAAAATCATCTTATACAGTCATGGCCAAAAAGGGACATTTGCACTTAATATGGATCTGGAATTTATCTTCTTGTTAAATATAAGAGAAGGCCCTGTTACAAAGGTAAAGACAATTTCAAACATAGCCAGAGGACTTTCAATCATGGCTGGTTTCTTTGCTACACAACAAAAGTTGTATTTATCTCTCTCCACCATGTTGATCCAGTGAGATGATTGGATGTAAATACTACTAAGTATGCCTCAATCAAAAGTTGAGATGAATGCAACATTTCTTGTATTAGCCTTGTAGTTATTACTAGCTAGATCAGTATAATATATGATGCATGTGATGAAGTATTTGTTGGAAGTTCTGCCTTCATTGCGGTTTGCCCTAGTTCGCCTAAATTGCGGTATTTAGCTTGCCATCGGTGCAGCCTCTAACACCTACACTGTATTGAGTTTGAAGGGGTGAATTTAGTCCTACATTGCTTAGAGATATTGCATATGGTGTGTTTATAAGTGAGAGCAATCATCACCTTACAAGCCGGTTTTGTAAAGTTGAGTTAGCCCCAACCATAATGCTTAAGAGTATTATTCATAGTTTTCATTACTAGAAAAATTTCCAAAGTAATCGGCTCCAATTAACAAAGGTTCCATGTCTTTTACAAATGTGTGCATAAAAGGTACAACGTCTTCATCTAGTCCCACTTGGACATGGACTGTTCAACACACTAGTGGCATAAAGAAAAGTAGTAAAATTGGGCTTTTTTATTATTATTGAACATAAGGTTAGCATTTTGTTTTCTTAACTTTATGGATTGAATCATTTTAAACTATAGTCAATAGTTGAATAAGTTGATGTACAAAATCACTTTGAGAATCAGGTGTAAGAACAATATTGATGAGTGATTGTAATTGAAAATAGGTGACACGAAAAATATAAAGTAATAAATGTCACAAACAAATAAAGTCTTTTCCCATTAGGGAGTAATTAACGTGAATCAAATGCTGTCATGACGACCATGTCAACCTAACATTCATAATGGTTGGGCCCAGGGACGGATCTACCCTAAGGTAAATGGGGGCAGCTGACCCCACTACTTCAATTGGATTTTAACTAATAAATGAATGCTTTTATGATTTTCCCTCACTTGAAAGGGTTGCTTTGTCCCCCACACGTTCCATTAATAAAGTTTTTAGCAACTAATATTACATTTTTAACCAATTGGTTTTCAACTAATAAGTATTGGGTACTTTAGCCTATAAATCTTCTTGGCCTCTCATTCCTTGTAACTGTTAGAACCCTCTACCTAAACTATTATCCTTACCCAGGGTTATACACATACCCAGACCATTTACAGTGATTATTATACTGCCATCTTAGCCACAGTAGGAACTATCCTGATTTTTGCTCTAATGCATTCATTCTTAATCCTATGTAGTGTAGTACTAGTATGTGCACTCATCAGCCCTAATATTCTTATCTCTACGATATTGAGCAAGAAGTGAAGAATGCTTACTGCCATCTTAATATACTCATTTTTTATTCGCTGAGATTACAAAATCATTGTAAATAGTTTGAAAATGAAAATCAGCAATAAAAAATTGAAGCAATGCCATTGCCACATCAATTAACCTCAAAGAAATCTTTTAGGCTGCAAATTGAGAAGCATGCAACCCAACACAATTGCAATTGCATGCTGTGTGCACGTGTGTTGGGAGGAAGAGTTTGCAAAAAAAGATCAAACAAGAAAAGCCCACAGCAAGGCTAGCAAAGCTATGTGAATATAGGGGATATTAAAACCTTAAAAATAGCCAGTAGCAAAACACCATGAAAAGAAGGGGGAAAAATAACACACAGAAAAAAAAAACATAAGGTAGGACCTTAATCAATATTTAAATGGACTAAGTTAGAGGCTAAATATTTCACATGATTGGGAGGGTACTTGTCAATTGAATAACTGTTAACCTCGCTTGGTGAATGTCAGATGTATCATTTTCAAAGGTCTTGACAACAGAAAGATGCTAAAATATAATGATAGTGGCCAGTGGGTGTTATACACATAATGTTATGTGCAGAATAAAGAAGTATAGTATCCAAGTCGAGCTCTTACGCTGTTGCTTCATGAGTCCCTTCAGGTAAGAAAAAGATAACAAACACCAAAGTATTTTTCACAGTGGGTATCTGTTTGGATCAACTATTTTGATTTTATCAACCGGCATAAGAATGGAAGAGCTAATAGAAGCAGCTTATGCCATTGTCCCTAAGCTAATTCAACTTATTTCCATAAACTCTTTAGGATAGCTTATGAAAACAACTTAAAGCTTATATGAAAATCACTTGACTTTATTTTATCTTTTGTTATAGGAATAGCTTATACATAAGCACTTATATGATTGATAAGCATTTATGCTGCTTAATTAATTTTTTTTATCCAAACCAAACATAGCCTAGGCGGAGTCAATTAGATGGATCAAATGATGCCATTGCCTATCAAAAATAAAATCTTCAGAAAGGCCAATGTATGCAGAATCGCGAGTTGGGACGTAAAATCGTACGTTTTGAGTTTTAATGGCATGCCGGCGTGCTGCGATTCCGGTGGGATCGTATGCAGCAAACTCGGCGAACTCATACGAGTTCGGAAAGCAGACTCACCCATTTTTTTGAGAATTTTTTGGGGAAAAAACCCTAAATTTTTAAATAGACTGGAGTTACGATTTTTAAATCCTCTACCGATTTTGAGTAAACTCTCATTTTTTTGAACATTGCATACAGGTCTAAATACTTTATTTACAAGCACCACCATGATGAAGCAAAATTTAAATCCACAAGTTTGAAACAGAACAGCAATACTAATGACATCCTCCCTAATATATGATTTACAGGCCTAAACACTAAACGGAAAAGAGAACAGTAGATCCATAGACGAACTAATTAGTATTTACACCAGGTACCGGAGCTAAAAACATATGATAGAAACCAAAAGTGTGTATGTGTGTGTCATTAGGTTTAATAGTCACATACCTTCTCAATATTATCCATCATTACTCCCTTGACCTCAGTTATTTGAGCCTTCAATTTCGACAGTTTACTCATTTCTTCAGGATGGGTCAAACAATACTGCATATGCCCCTTAAGACTCGGCCTGTGCAACAATATCAAGATACTATAAAACAAACAACTAAAAAGTAAACAAAAACTCACAAAGTGATCAAGCATAAACCAACCCAAATTCTCTGTCAAGATTATATGCAATGCTAAACCTATCTTCAAACAAATCATCATCTTCGTCATCATCAGCAAGTGGATGATCACTTGAATTCGTAATACTAGAACCATAACGCTGTTTAAAATCATCCTTCACCCGTTCCAGAAACACAAAAGGAACACTCCTTCCCATCGATTCATCAGCAACAACAAGGAAAACTGCACATCACACATACATAAAAAACAGCAATGCAACAGCCAAACCATCAAATAATACATAAAAAAACAACCAAGAGTAAATACTAACCAAACCCATTGTCTAAGAGGAAGTTAAAGGTGTGACCATCACACGAATACGTATATTTGGTGCTATTTGAAGGAAGCTTGTTCAAACACTGAACAGCAATGGTACTGAAATTCCCTGTATACTGAGTGTGTTCTGCTAAAACAACAGTTCCTTTGGCAACAAAGCTATATATCAAACCCCTTTGACTCATCTCCAATTTCCACAAAAAAAAAAAAAAAAACTACACAATCACCACAACAACCTAATCAAGCTGTAAATAAAAAAATCAATCAGAAATTCAACAAAAAAAACTCAAATTATAACAATCAAAACCCTAATTGAAGTCAGAAACTAAACCTAAAACGATGTTTACGAATCTAGGTGAAATTGGATTGTTAAAGTAAAATTAAGGAAGAAGAAGAAAGAAGAACCTGAAGTGGAACGAGATCGAGGATCGGAGGGTTGATTCGTTGGGAAAGATGAATTTGATCTAAGAAGAAGATATGAAGGAAAGTGAAGGTATTAATAATGACAGCGATTTCAGTTTGAGCAGTTACGTGAAGCTACGTGGTAGAAGAGGTTTGTGTAGTTGTTGATTAACACTTAAGTAATACCAATAAATCCAAACTGATTTTTAAGGATAATTACTTGTTAAGTACTATTAAAAGATTTTTAAAATTAAAATTAGAAAGTATTAAATTTAAAAATATTTTATTATATATTTTTATTTTGTCTTGTAGTATTATTTCATTTGACTAAAAAATATAATTAATTAGTTATACTATTTTAATTTAAAAAGTTAATCTCTAATATTTATTTATATATAATTTTGATCTTATATTTTCATTTTAGAAATTTGAACTTAAGATGTTTACTATGAAATCCATATTAAAAAAATTGATAAATAACTTTTTTATTAAGTAGTTTAGTAATTGAGATGTTATTTTTTTAAAAATAATTTTTTTTAAATATGTATATTTATGTATGATGTTCCTGAATAACTATCAACTGAATTGTACTAACGAAACGACTAATAAAATTCTTATAAATATTGAGTTTGTGAATTCAATAATTTTTTCAACTAATAAAATTTATAGATAATCTAAAGAAAATTATAGAATAAATAACTTTATATTGTTTATACAAAAGTTGAAATTGGTTAGATAATTTGTACAATAATGTATATTACGTCAATCACGATTCATAGTTGTGTAGTAGAGTATGGTAAGGAGGAGAACGTTTATCATCTTTTTATAGGTTGTGAGTGTTTAGAGAAGGTGTGAAATGAAATTCAAGGTGTGAGAATTTCTTGTGTGTTACCTAATCACATTTTAACGCGTACTTGTCAATATTATGACATTGTTGGAGGAGCAAAAAGATGAGAGATGATATACATGTTTCTCACCTCAATCCCTTTTACTACATGCAAAACACTTAGATTTTTTGAAATATATGTGATGCATTTGATTGTATGACTCGAAACTTTATTTGGAAGGATATTTCCACCACTGGTATTCATTTGGTTGATTGGAAAATTTTACACGCTCGAAGAAGTTTGGTTGCCTAGGATTTGATAAGCTAGAGATGCCAAAACGGCTTTCCTCGATAAGTTAGTTTGAGATATATTTCAAAATACTTATAAACTTTAGGTGTGTCTCTTATCTCATAAGTAGTTCTTTGGTGCTTGTTTACACTTTTTTTGTCACTACATATTGAAATTATATTGTTAAAAGAAAAGAATATGATAAAAGATGGATATGATTGAGGTCTGAGTCGAGCTTGTCTTTTTTTTAGTGTAACTATTGGACTTCTCTTGACTCATTTATTTCTTATTGATTGTGTGTATATGCATAACCTTTATTTAGCAGTTAAAGAATATTACTTTACGACACCCCCTCACATCTACCACTTGTACACCTAGTTACTGCATCATCTCATCACTAAGCTAACCACCAAAAGTCTTCGACTTCAACCCCAATACAGAATATGTTTTCATTTGATCTTATCATATAAGTGGTACTTGTACACTACTAAGAATGGTTACTCTTAAATCCTTCACAACAAAGAAGATTTATGTGACCCTAATACGGAAACTTGGTCGTGGCATTGATCTAGAAACTCTTCCTTTTTTGTCTTGCTTGTCACTGTTTTGTTTCCTCACACTCTCTTTTTCACCATGGCAACATGGTCTCATCAACTATGTGTTCTAGATGCAACCTACGAGATGAATCTTTCCTTCATTGTGTTTGTGATCATAGAAATTCTATAAATTTTAGTTGTACCTTGGGTTTAATCGTCTCGAATTTTTCTTAACTCGTGATAAAAATGACATTCATGGTACCGTCAAAAACTCTTTACCGCAAGAATATGGTGGGCTTTTGTTGGAAATCTACCAAGACACGTGGAGAGTTTATATCAATCTTGATGAACAATATTATTACCAATACGCAATAACAATGAAAGAAAGAATTAGTGTTTGGCGAAATTGGGGAAGAATATGATGATTTTCTAAGAGTTTCTCTATGGCCACAAACTGTGGAAAAATCTTATTAACTTTCCAACTGTAAAATTTTGTGAATATAGATTGTTTACAATATAGGGGTTACTCCCTATTTATAACGAGCTTTCTTCCTCCCTAATCCAAAACCCACAAATACAAAAATCCCAAATTAACTATTTAGACTTAAGTCAAAATATTGCGTGAAGCTGACGGCTTCGACATTTCAATAGACATACTTCGACACACACATTAGGATAAGTTCGACATACCCTTGTTCTTTCGAGAAACATATTGTTTCGACACAAGGAATTAAAAACTCAACAAAACACCTAATTCATTGTGTCTAAGCTATCAACATTTATCATATCTCTTAATCTTCTGAACACTCTGACATGCACACCCTTCGTCATGATATATTCAATTTGATTCTCAGTTATGCAGTGTTCCAAATTCAACTTCCCTTTAGCTACCTGCTCTTGAAGATAATAGAACCTCATTTTGATATACTTGCTTCGACCATGTGCTATTGGATTCTTAGCCAGATTGATAGTTGGCATGTTGTCAATCTTCATGGTGATTGCTCCATGATTCTTCCTTGTAATCTCTTTAATTATATTCACCACCCATGTTGCTTGACATGCACAAAGAGAAGCATTTATGTTCTCTACTTTATAAGACAATAGTGCTACTATTGGTTATTTTCTTGATATTCAAGCAACTAGTACACCACCTAGCATAAACACATAGTCAATTGTAGATTTTTTATCCTAAACATCACTACACCAACTTGAATCGGTGTACCCCCACTAACTTGCATTCTTTTCCTTTATCGGCTGCAGGAAATAAAATGCCATTGATCGAGAGTTCCTTTGAGGTACCTCAGTATCCTCTTTACTGCTTCTAGGTGTGATACCTTTGGATTATGCATGAATCTACTTACCATTATACATTGTATGTTAATTTATGCCTTGTGTGACAGAGGTATCTTTGTGATCCAATAAGTCTTATGTACTAAGTTGGATCAATATCGTCTTTGTATGAGTCTTTTGATAGTTGCGGTCTTGGTTCAGCAAGTGTCGGAGTGGAGTTGCATTTTTCCATAAATCTCTTGAGTATTTCACTTGCATATCTTCGTTGATACATCATCAAACATCTACTACTCTTGTATAATTCTATGCCAAGGAAGTATGAAATTTCTCCCATATCACACATTTTGAATTCCTTGCTAAGACCGCCTTTGAAGTCTACGATCTCTTTCTTGTAGCAACTTGTTAATAACAAGCCATTGACATCGAGACATAGTATAAGCATTTCACTCTTGCTTCTTCTTACATATACTCCATGTTCATTTGCGCACTTCACAAATTCCTTCTCCCTTAGAAAACTATCTATTTTCTTATTCCAAACTCTTGGACCTTGTTTAAGTCCATACAAAACTTTATGTAGCATGTACGCCTTTCTTTCTTCGCCATGCTTCACAAACTCAACTGGTTGTGTAACATAAAATTCTTCGTCTAAGGGTTTGTTTAGGAATGCACATTTCATATACATTTAACATATGTGCCAACTGCTTATTTCTGCTAGACCAATAACTAACTTGATAGTTTCAAGTCTAGCCACAGGTGCAAAGACTTCATCAAACTCGATTCCTTCTTTCCGAAGAAATCCTTTTGCCACAAGTATAGAATTGTTTCGAGTTACTTCCCATTTGGGATTCAACTTCTCCTTATATACCCACTTGACATCAATTTCCTCTTTGTCATGAGGCAATTTGACAAGTGACCAAGTGTTGCTGGTTTTGATGGGCTTTAATTCCTCATTCATAGCTTTCACCCACTTCGAATCCTTCAAATGCCTCAACCATGTTGACTGGTTCAACATCTGTATAGAAAGCATAGTGTACCAATGCACCTTCATTATCGACTACATCATCTGATGTAATCACACAAGCCTACAACCTTACAGGCATGTGTCATTTTCTTTGAGGTCTACTTTGGCCTGCTTCACCATTGACTTCTTCTTGTCGAACTTCTTCTCTTTCGACTTTAGTGCTTGGTTCTTCACATAAGATTCTCACTTAGGAATGGCAGGCAGACCCAAACCTGTAGGGCCTACCCGCACCCAAACCTGAGTTAACGGGTGAAAACCCGAGTTGACTGGGTTCAGATTCGGGTTCGGGTGCGAGTTTGGGCAGTGTCAAACCCGCGCCCAAAACCACATCCGCTTAGACATAAAATTATATAAGTGCCCCCATATATATATATATATATATATATATATATATATATATATATATATATATATATATATATATATATATATATATATATATATATATATATATATATATATATATATATATATATATATATATATATATATATATATATATATATATATATATATATATATATATATATATATATATATATATATATATGTGTGTGTGTGTGTGTGTGTGTGTGTGTGTGTGTGTAACAAATTAGGGTTTCACTTTTAAAAAGAAAACCAGACGAGGTTACTCTCTTCAATCTCAGACCCACGCAGTCACGCGTATACACCCTCTTGTTCACCATTAACATCCTTCATCACCCATTAGACGCATCCCCTCCGTCATTCCTCCAATAACAGTCGCAACAACCTTTCTTCGGCCATCTACACCACTATACTGACGACAATCTCCCCATCCCATAGTCAACATCTCCGCCGAC